TTCAGTTTTAGTTTACATGATTTTTGTTTTGTTTTTATACGTAGTAAATAATATAATAATATTTAAAAATAACCTTAACCAATGTTATCATCATCAGCGTTTACAACAGACTGAGACTGATGATGGCCAAACAAAAACGACCTAGTAAAATGTGTGAGATGTAATAGACTTAACAGTAAACAAATTATTCTTAATTTTTAACATTTTTATTGCCTCTTTAATATGATTTGCTTAAAAATTATTTATAATTTATAGAAATTTTACTGATTTTATACTACATTAGTATCCAATAAATGTCCCGCGCTGGAGCTTGGTGCACTTCTTGATTTTTATGTTCTTTGAACCTAACCTCTGTGATTTTTCGTTTTGTATTACCTACAAAACATTTATCACATTTTCACGGTGTATTTTATAAATCTCTAATTGTTTTCTTTACTCCTATTTTGTCTTTAAATGAATTTGTTATTTTTCAAAAAAAAAGTTGAAGGGCACAGGGGAAAAACGGTAGTAGTCACATTATGGAATTTTTTTTTTCAAATAGTTTTTTTCAATTTATGCCAAGAATTTATTTTTATTTTTGTCAATAGATTATTTAAATTAATACATTTATTATTAGAGTAGTATTTAATATGATTTTTTTTGTTCATATGTAAGAGGTAGAGGAATTCACGAACACCGTTTTGATTGTAATACTTCTAAAACCAAAAGAAAGAGAAAATTTTACGTAGACAAAGTTTATTTTGTATTTTTATTTTACTTAATGAATTAGATATCAATTACAGAGAATATTTTATTTTAATTCAAATTTTTTCCAAAAAATACCTATTTTAATAATACCATGTCTGAACTATAAGAAAAACATTTGTTTTGAGTGTCCCATTCTATGAATTCTATTTAAAAAATATCTATCTTCATGTTCCATTCGATTTTTAAAAATTTTAAATGACGGTGTAGTAAAAAATACTTTTCTAAGAAAATAAGGTGAATTTAGTACTATCACCATTGCCACAATATTCGTTCGTGCAAACTCTGCTTTTATACAACAATTAATTATGGTCCGGAAGCGTTATCTTAACAATAAAATAAATAAATACAATTTACAGCTTCATAAACTACCAAGCTTAGTTATTATTAGGGAATCGAAGTGACCAATTACGATTTTATTTAGTTAAAAATAAAACAACAGTCAGCAAATTAAGTAAGTATCAATTAGACAAGTGCTAATATGAACTAAGATTTTTCTAAGAAATTAAGTATACTCTTTTTTATAGGCAATGAGAATTATTACTGTCCCTACTTTATGGCGGTTATTTAGATAGTATATGGATATAGTGTATCCTGGTGGCAATAGCTTCTAAACTCATATTACCACGTTTCATATAAAAGAGACCATAATAACAGAAATTATTAACTTTTTATAGTATATAAGACGATCAAAAATGAAATAATAGCAATAAACAAAACGGTGTATACTTTATTAGTAGTTGTTCAAAGTATTTTACAAATAATTTTAAAACAATAAGTTTTTTATAGTTTCTTAATGATGCTGAATTATAAATCAAGCCTCTTAAATTTCAACCATATGTCATTTTTTGGTACAGTATTCAAAGTTAGTTTCTTAAATTTCATTGGAGCATCAGTTTTTTCACATGGTTCTATTTCGTATTTTGATAATATTTCTGAAAGTGCCAATTTCATTTCTATTTCGGCAAACGCTTACCTATAAATATTGAAAATTGTATTATTATTAAACTCAGATAAACATTTAATCAGTAACATAATAGTTTACACTTATTAATTCGAGGTTTCCGTCTAGTGAACAGCAAAACAAAATATATTTTACCGTGAAAAGATTTGAAATAATTTTTCCACTTATGTCATCTAATGATAACCGCAAAGCTGTATTTACCTAAACACTGACGAGGTCCTTCTCCAAAGGGCATATAAACCCCGCTTGGCCTTTTGGCTTTTTCTTCGGGAGTAAAACGTTCCGGATTGAAGGTAATCGGATCAGGGTAATACATTGGATCCATGTGAAGACTGTATGCAGGTATAGCAATTTTTGTTCCTTTTTCTATTACCAAATCTTCTCCAGGAACTTGGTAGGACTTTGAGGCCTCTCTGAAGATTATTGATAAAGGTGGATACATACGTAGAGTTTCTACAAAAAAAACATGTATGTAAAAAATGTATAGAAAGAAAAATATAATAATATAAATTAGCTTATTTTACTCTTAAAGAGCTTTTTGGTATGGACAACCTTTTGTATTTTTTTTAAAAAATCATCAGTAAATATAATATTATTTTTGTGACACGTTTCAAATCATGCCATACCTCTGAATTGGGTATTCTTGAGTAATTCATAAAAAAATATTTGTTATGTAGAAATATATTAACGAAACTTCGTATTGAATAACATACCAGATTGTAGAGTTATTTAAAAGTGTAAAGGATCGCAAAGTTAAAAAAAAAAATTAATAAGTATTTCAACATAAAGTAAATACCATAATATAGGTTTGTTTTCCTGTTATAGATTTTTTATTTTAACAACTGGTATATTTACTAAGTCAGAAGTAGGAAAACAAACTTCGACCTCCGGCCAAGTAAACTAAATTTACATTTTTTCATGACTGTAATAATATGTAGACAGATTTTTATTTGTTGGTAACAATGTATAATACATATTACATATATTACATTATGGTATTTACTTAGTTCCTATATTATATAACGTATTTTAAGGCTTATGTTGAAACACTTTTTGTTTTTTTTACTTAGCGACTATTTACACCGAGTTAACGAAGTGTTTTTGTTGGGATATCAGAAGTTTTTTATACGAGTATATGTGAATGTAAAATATAATACTTTGAATACAATAATAATAATTACAAATCATATCACAACAATACCAACTAATACCACAAAATACCTAACACACAAAAATCGTCACAGCTAAACAAAGACACAACACATTGTCATTTGTCGATAAACTGCGGTCAGCAACAACGTCGTGCCGATTTGTCAGTAAGGAACGACGAACTAAATTTTATGTTTATTTTAAATTAAGTTTTTCATACAGTTACTTCTCAGGATTTTCATAAACATTTTCGTTGACTGTTAACAAACATGTTGTTATTTAACTAAAATGTAGAGGCTATGCAAACATGTTTATATAGTAACTTAATTGTCTAAACATATCCTAAAGGAGCAAATTTCTTTAAAAATATTGCCTACACTGTACTTAGTATTACAAAATTTGCATAAATTTATTTATACATCTTTTTTTATGCAAAATAGACGAGGAATTGAATGGCGTGGTCAAATTATACCTGTCAAAACGTAATATTTCCATAATGTTTAATTGAATTAAAAAATCGGTAATTGTGACTTAAAGTACTATTTCCATGTCCAATATTATGTCAAATCTAACTATTTACAAATTGCATCAAAACATTCTACTTCCCATGACAAATAAGTGATTGTTTTTTTAAATGCGGCAAAACACATTCCAGATATTTTACAAACGATCACGTCAAAACGCTTTAGGTTCTATACTATAAACATAGCAAAAGAAGTTAAAGTAAATGCGAAGGGTACTATTTCCAGTTGTTTTAAAACCTACAAAACCATTTTTGTATATTTTAAAGCTACGACAGAAAATCAATGTTTCTGGAAAGAACAAAAGATAGAAATAGTACGTTTTAAAATATCCCCCTGTCATACACACCTTGTATGTATAACTAGATATAGATTAATGCTACTAACCTGCTAAAACCATTTCGACATATGGTAGTTCTGCTAAAAACCCATCGTTAAGATCGCTGTTATGGTTCGACTTTGCGGTTAAGATTTCTTCGCGAACACGATCTTGAATGGGTTTTTTCAAGGCTAATTCATATAAACAGATGCTCATAGTCGTAGATACCGTCTCGAAACCGGCCAGGAACAAAAAAAAAGCATTGGCTATTATATCCATTTCTTTAAAGCTCACTGACATAAAATAATAAAATAATAACATAAACATATTAATTGTTCAATCATCTAAATTCATATAGGTAGTACAATTAAAATACTAGAAGACCAAGTGGTACTCAGTCGAAAAAGTTTTTCAGTCGAGTCTGCAACCACGAAAGAGCATTTTCATGTCTCGTTGAAGTACCGAATAAATTTAGATTAGTTGTGGAATTAAAATTAAAAAAAAAAAATTACATGGAGCTTCCAGTTACAGCATAAGGCCAAGGAGATTAAAAAATTATGTACAATCAAGTTTCTGGCTAAAATTGTAGTGTTTATTATCTGGCCAAAAGTAACTTAACATAGAGAATTAAACTATTTTGAATTTATTATTTAGTTCTAATTTGAACGTTGAACGTACAACATATCTTATCTTATCTCATATCAGATAACAGCGTAACGCTTTTTTTGGTAACACTTTTTTCGTTATGCTTTTTTCGGTTATTTGCACAGCTCATTCCACCCCATTACTATTCCCACCCCAACTTCATCTTCAACCCCATTTCTTTTTTGGTAACGCTTTTTTCGGAAATGTGCCAGGGTTATGTGCCAGAACTAAGACATGAAAATGTCAAAATGTTCTAATAAAATTGGTCATCTAATAAGAATAACTATTAAATTTAATTTGTATTATGTTGTATATTAAAGTAAAAAATGAAATGTTATTCGGCTATATTCATATAAATATTATTAATTGTTAATATTTAACATCTATAGTATTTATCAGTTACCTGATAGCTCTGATTTATTGATGACCAAGTCTGTCCTGGCCTGTAGCATGCATTGCACAAAGTCATTTCTTGTGATATGGTTCTTTTCTCTGTATTCCATTGTCTGACGAAAGAAATTCTCAAACAAATCTGTTGCAAACTTAGGGAAGTCGGTAATTTTTAACATTTTTCTCAATACTGGTGAGATATACTGGAACATATCTTTCAGTTGAAGTTTTATTGACGGTGCAAACATAGCTCTTCCCAACTTTCGAAATAAAGAATTATTATCAACAATGCTGTTTAACTGCAGCCCGAAAGCACAAGTACCGATTACGTCCGTCGAATAATCACCCATGATGTCACGCACTTCCAACAAGTCCGATTGAATTAATTTCAATTCCAAATGTTTAATTAATTGGTCACAATTTTTCCACATTTTTTTTTTACTCCCCTGCCATCTTAGTTTTTTTTAAAACAACTTTTGAAACTTAAATGGTAACGCATACTTTTCATTAAATTTTTAATTTAAGAATAATGTATTAAACATTTGACTGGTCGATAACCAGTTTTGGATAACTATTTTTGAAGCTATTAAAGTTTCAAGTTCAGGGCAGGAGGAAAGGTGGAGTGTAGTGTTATTTTTATCTGCGCGCAATTCCCAACCACACTTCTTCTCCTATCCTAACTTTTAAACTCTTATAATTTTAAAAATAGTTTTAAAAAATTATTCATTTTTATTTTTTTTAGCTAATAATTCACCTAATTCTGATATCTTTTTTAACATTGTAATCCACCCTTTACATGATAATAACCAAAAAACATACGATTTTTAAACGGTAACGTATAGTATCTGATAATTTAAAAATTGATAATTATGAACTGAACATTTTGACTGGTTCAAAACAAATCAGCGTTGAGTAATTACTATTGAATTTATTAGAGTTTTAAATTTGGGGCGGGAAGTAGAGTGCGGTTGAATAACACGCATAAATAATACTATATTCCACTTTACATCCCTACCTAAAATATTAAAATTTAATAACTTTAAAATCAATTATTCAAAATTTTAAAAGTTAATAAAATGTATACCTACATTACCATTTAAAAGTTTTAAGTTCATAGGTTATCAAGTATTAACTTTATGTATCATTAAGCGTCACGCGATTGATTGATTAAACTAATCAAATTTGTATGCACTCACGGTGTAATATTGTAAAGTTTGTTTTTGCTATCTTATCTAGTTCTATTACACCTACAAAACTGTAATATATCAATAAGATAATTTTTTCAAAAAATAATATATCTATAAGTAGTCTACATACTAAGCTAATGAATTTATTAAGAAAAAACATGATTAAATACCCATAGATGTTTATCATACTAAAAGTTAATATTATCGGTAGATTTGAAAATGGACTCTTATTGAAAATGAATACCTTGTTTATTACTCTGCAAAAGTATACTAAATCTTAGACCGTCTTTTAGGTACCTTTTAACAAGTCATTCAAATCAAAAACATACCTTATGTGTTATAATATAGTATTGTTTTTATTATCCCAAACAAAAACCTAACCGTGGAACAATGGCCAAGTGTTAAGCAATAAAAATGTAAAAAACAGTGTTTCTCATGAAAGTAGGAATGAAGTAAGATTATCGACTAAAGTAAGAGCGGACTTGGTCACAATGTAGATATCAGTACATTGATAGGTTGAATTTCTTTAGTATGGAACTGTCCTTTTTTCACAGTTTTTGGTATTTTTGGGGGAAATCATTCCTTTTTGCTGCATCAGAGCGTTTATTTGAAAGTGGTTTTATCACTTTAATTTATAATAATTCCTGTAGACCTGTGACTTCTCTATCCCACTATGCTTTAATACTTTTATGCCTTGACCCCACTGTACTAACTTACTCGGAAAAAACCATTTTAAAATAAACCTAACCGCATCGTAGCTAAAACATTTTTCTGGATTTTTGTGTAAAAGACTTCAAAAGTGGTCAAATTATATGTTTTTGTGGTAGGTACATATTTTTTTTAATTTAAACGTGTTTATGTTAAAAACTGCGAACAACACAGTTTTCCGGAAATTAAAAAAAAAGCTGAATTCCCATTTTTTTCTTCGTTTAATATGTTATGGATACATATGAGTTCTGACTCTTGACAAATTTTCAACTTAAAGAAACATCAATAATACAACTATGAACAAAACAGTGAGTTTTCAGTTAGTGCCATTTACTAATAACATGACATGCTACATGTAAAATGCATCTGAATAGGTTCACTTTAAAACTTAATGGTAAATTATAATTATTAAGTACACAAGGTCTCGTCCGTCAACTAGAATCACTTGGCGCGTGACGGTAGTGTAAGTAATTGATACTATATTATTACTATAATATCTTAGTACCATGTACTAAATTGCCGCTTTGATATTGAAGTATTTTTACAAATAACACAACGTTAATAACACGTTGTTGTATTACTGTATTTTTTACGTTGTTATTTGCAAAACGAACGCCCAACCTGGGCTATGAGTACAACGTGAAATATTACAATATGAGCGACTTACTTCATTAACACACAAATATTGATATCTGTTCATTTTAAAAAGAACAAAAAAAAGAACATATTAACGAACTGCAGAAACGAAATGAAAAATAAGTAAAGCAAGGGAGTAAGTAAGTGCACGTAAGTGCATATATGCATTAGGTTATTTATATTGATATAATTTTGTGATTATGATTAATATTTATTTTCTTACATCGCTATCTGACGGGGTCTTATTTGGGGGTCCTCCAGATGTCGAATCACCTATTAATTACCATTCATGCTGGAACACCCTGTATATATTTTTATTATAATATTAATAATTTCTAATTTGTTCATAAAAATTAAAAAAATTCATGCAGTGGTTGACAATATTTTTTAACAACAGCTAGAAGTCAATATTAGAACGGTTTAATTTTCTGTGGAAAATGTCATTTTCAAACCGGATGCACCTATTACCTTGAAATTTGAATCGTTCCTTACCTTAAGTCAGTGTTGTTTTCACCTTACTATTTCCTAAGGAAGATACAGTTTAAACATATATATTCTATTGACTAATATAATATATAAAACTTTATTTTTTATTATATACAAACGAGTTCTCTCATTGTTAATATTTTTCAACTGTTTGTTTTCTAATTAATTAATGTGTGAAATAAGATAATAATGGCATAAGGTATAATATATCTTAATTTATATATTTCACCAACCCGGTTGCGCGCTTAACACATGAACACCATTATACGAAATATATAGTAAAAGAATATTATACCTAAAATTTGCAGCTAATTAAAAATAAATACTTTAAAGAGAACTTACACTCTTTGACCCAGGTTATATACGCATTGTGCGACCATCGTGTAAAGGAGTCTGATAACTACCGACATACAATAATTTAACTACGCTATTTTCTGATAAATGAATGAACTATTAAAGTATTAAGTGCTAAAAATCTTATTTTATAAGATCAAAAGATGATTCAAAAGGCTTACTCCCTTGGTATCTGTGCAACATTTCTCCAGATTGCCCGAGAAGTCATCCAGGAGGTCCCTTCTAGGTTTTAATGCAAATAAAAAATTTGTAATTAAATCTCCAAGTGTTAATTGGGATTCTTATGTTATTTTTCATACCCACAATATTGGATAAAAGCGTTGTTTATTAATTATTCTCGGTAAGTCAATAAATTAATACTTCAAAGCTGTAATAAAAATGCTGGTGGTCGATAACCAGTTTTGAATAATTATTTTAAAGTTATTAAAGTTTAAAATTTAGGACAGGAGGTGGAGTGCGGTTGAGTAATAAACGCAGATAAAACCCATAACTCTATCCTCCCTTCGTCATAACTGTAAAACTATTTATTCAAAATTGTTTATCGAACAGTCAATATTTTCAACAATCTGTTCTTAATAAAAGTTAATAAAATATGTACGGTGCCATTTAAGTTTATAAGGCTCTAAAAATACCAATAAAGATAACAATTTGAATATTATTTATTATTTTACTATAATATAAACAAAAAGTTACAGTCTACCTAAAGCCTAACGGTTAAAATTATAAAACATGAAAAATGCTTTAGCCTGAATAGCGATTATTTCTGGTCTATAATCCCCTTCCGATTAAGATTTTTAGTAGTTTTATAATATCTGGATTTACTGGCAACATTTATCAATATTTAACATTTCCGTCAATCCTTCGAATGTAATGTAACCTAACCTAATGTATGGCGACGACCACTCATTATTTTGATGGCATCTTATATTAGGTAGTCCAGTACGATAAACAATTTTATAATGAAATAAATCGGGAAGTTTTGAAATTTGGCGGACATTTTTTTTATGATCTCCCGACTGAACAACAAAAATGATTAATTGTGGACTATTTAAGTCTTATAGTAAATCAGTACATTTAGGATTATCTTTAGATTATCAAAATGGGCTACTGAAAACACTAGAAGGTCACTGTAATAATTTACTTTATTGTAGCCCAAAACTACCAACAATTTATTAGCTACTAGGTAAATGCTGTTAGAGAACTGTATAAATATGGTAGTAACAAATCAATATCTTAATTAACAAAAGCCACTATTCTTAATGAAAACAATCAAAATACGCCCATTCATATAGGCTTTATCTGCATTATAGATGTACATCACAATACAATATAAATGTTTCATAATGTTATATTATAATAATTATATATTTATTATATTTTAATGAACTCAAAGTTATGAATATTGATTGTTTACAGGAAACATTGTAATATTTCATGTTTATAGTTGACCTACATTAAAGTATATGTAATGAAGTAAAAAATAATTATTAATAGGTAATATTGACTTCCTATTTAACAACAATATATTTAAACGAGTAGACTATAATTATAATTACTGTCGATAATAAAAACTTTAATAGCTGCTATTGTCTTTTAATATAGACTAATGCTCAACTACTGATGGTATAGGTATTTCTCTGTTCTAAGATTATACCAGAAAATAACCCGGTATGTAAACTGGCCAAGGAGTTTCAGTGAATTTTATAACTGGTACTTTTCCAGTAATTAATTATCCGGTAATTAAATTAACATTTAAAAACAGATTCGTGGCCTATTAATAGTGAAAAGTATTAAATATAAGTTAAGAGATATTTCAAATCTAAACCAAAATGCAATAATCGATTAGAAAACGCGTTTCCCGTTAAAATCTAAATAGAATAAAGTTCTAATTTTTAAAAACAATGAGATTTCATGACAAATCAAACTTTTTTAATAAAGATATTTCGAGGGATGATAAAAAGCTCTTTAGTTAAACTATAACATATAGCTCATAAATGCTGAATTGAACTTGTTATTTAAAAATAACAATTCTTCCAGTCTAAATTTAAATATGAGTAATT